ACACACACACACACACACACACACACAAACACACACACACATACACACACAAACACACACACACACACAGGTAACAATCACCTTCAACATCCTACTGAGAGAATGAGCCTGCAAAACTACATATTCATCCCTGATCAGACACGCTTATAAGAGCTATTTAGATGCCAAACGGCAATAATTGTGTGACTAACAGATGCAGAAAAAATAAACAGACAAAATAATTATAACATTTTATTTAATGGGTTCAGATCAGGGTTTAATAGTTAACTAAAACTAAATTTGAAATAAACTGAATAAATTATTTTTTTTTAAATAAGCTATTTTAGCAACATTTCTCATCTTCATGTAGTTTAACTTGATGTACTAACATAACTGAAACTTTAGATATTAAGAAAAACAAACTACTAAAAATGACTAAAACCTTCAAATGAAAACTGAAAATATAAAAATAAAAACTAAGTCAAAATATTAATAAAAATTATAATATAATCTCAATGATACTAACATAACAATGGTTCGGATAAAAGCTTGATGGTTTAATGTTAAAAAAACGAAACAATTACGATATAAATAATAGAATTATAATTTTACATGGTACTGTAATTTTGTTTTTATATATATATTTTTTCATTAAGATTAAGAAATGATTTTCTTGAATACTCAATTTTTATTTTTCAGTGAAATACTACAACAATATTTTGTTTAATATTTTTAGCTGAATTAAAAGGTATTAAAATTAAAACGAATACACAGGGGGGGAAATCGCAATTAATTTTTTTCCTCAAATTATTCCAAATTGCAAGGTACAGTAAAACATGTGTAACTTGTTACATAGAATTACATAGAATAAACAAATGTTCATGAAAGAGTGTGTCTGTTGCTCAGCATTAACTGCTTGTTTATACAACATCACACTGATAGCCATGCTGTTAATCTGAATATCAGCAGAGTTATGATCACCTGCGGCACAATCACAGCTGATATTGCTACAGCAGCACCAGTGTGAGTGAGTGATAGTGTTGAACTGTGAGCAAACACACTCCAAACGGCCGCTTCATCTCACTCTGTGTTCATGAGCGGCTCTCTGAGGCTGTATGGCTTTAACATGAGGAGATTCCTGCGTCTCAGGGAGATTCACACACACACACACACACACACACAGCCTGCAGCGGCTCAACCAGCAAGAGCAGAGCAAGTTGCTAACAAATCACCTTTAGCCCAAGCGAGTGTGATGTTGTGTTTGCATGCTCCAGTTATTCACCCTGACAAACACTCACACCATGTATTTTTACATTCTCTTACTGAGCAGAAGACGGCAGCCTTGAGCGAACACGAAAGAGACGTTCACGGAGGAAATGACAAACTTCACACACTTACACTGATTTTGGTGGCGTCCTTTGACATCTCATTCTGCGGCACAACCTGCAATATAAAAAAAACATCATGTATTCATAATCAACATGATTATAGTTAACTAAAAAACAAAACAAAAATAAATAAATTACATTAAAATGTTACTTAAAATAAAACAAAGTGAAATAAAATTAAAATAAATTAAAAACTTATTTCAGCTAGTTGCCAAAGCAACAAGTCTCGTTTTGTTTAGTTTAACTTGAAATACTAAAATAACTAAAATGAATAAAAACAATTATATAGATAAAAAAAACATAAAATGTAATAAAATCTATACAGACATTTAAATAAATATAAAAATAAAAATTACAAAACAAAAATTACTAAAACGTTCAAATTTAGGTGAAAACAAAATATATAAATAACATGTAATTGAAAATATATATTCGAAAAAAAATTATATACATTTTTAAAATTAAAAATATATATATATTAAAAAACTATAATAGCATATAAATAAGTCATTCATCGTATCAGCATATTCAGATCTACATATTTATATATATATATATACATATATATAACATTAATACTTATATAATATATATTTCAATATATATTAAATATATATTATTAATTATATATTAAATATATTTCATTAAGATTAAGAAATGATTTTCTTGAATACTCAATTTTTATTTTTCAGTGAAATACTACAACAATATTTTGTTTAATATTTTTAGCTGAATTAAAAGGTATTAAAATTAAAACGAATACACAGGGGGGGAAATCGCAATTAATTTTTTTCCTCAAATTATTCCAAATTGCAAGGTACAGTAAAACATGTGTAACTTGTTACATAGAATTACATAGAATAAACAAATGTTCATGAAAGAGTGTGTCTGTTGCTCAGCATTAACTGCTTGTTTATACAACATCACACTGATAGCCATGCTGTTAATCTGAATATCAGCAGAGTTATGATCACCTGCGGCACAATCACAGCTGATATTGCTACAGCAGCACCAGTGTGAGTGAGTGATAGTGTTGAACTGTGAGCAAACACACTCCAAACGGCCGCTTCATCTCACTCTGTGTTCATGAGCGGCTCTCTGAGGCTGTATGGCTTTAACATGAGGAGATTCCTGCGTCTCAGGGAGATTCACACACACACACACACACACACACACACACACACACAGCCTGCAGCGGCTCAACCAGCAAGAGCAGAGCAAGTTGCTAACAAATCACCTTTAGCCCAAGCGAGTGTGATGTTGTGTTTGCATGCTCCAGTTATTCACCCTGACAAACACTCACACCATGTATTTTTACATTCTCTCACTGAGCAGAAGACGGCAGCCTTGAGCGAACACGAAAGAGACGTTCACGGAGGAAATGACAAACTTCACACACTTACACTGATTTTGGTGGCGTCCTTTGACATCTCATTCTGCGGCACAACCTGCAATATAAAAAAAACATCATGTATTCATAATCAACATGATTATAGTTAACTAAAAAACAAAACAAAAATAAATAAATTACATTAAAATGTTACTTAAAATAAAACAAAGTGAAATAAAATTAAAATAAATTAAAAACTTATTTCAGCTAGTTGCCAAAGCAACAAGTCTCATTTTGTTTAGTTTAACTTTAAATACTAAAATAACTAAAATGAATAAAAACAATTATATAGATAAAAAAAACATAAAATGTAATAAAATCTATACAGACATTTAAATAAATATAAAAATAAAAATTACAAAACAAAAATTACTAAAACGTTCAAATTTAGGTGAAAACAAAATATATAAATAACATGTAATTGAAAATATATATTCTAAAAAAAATTATATACATTTTTAAAATTAAAAAAATATATATATTAAAAAACTATAATAGCATATAAATAAGTCATTCATCGTATCAGCATATTCAGATCTACATATTTATATATATATATATACATATATATAACATTAATACTTATATAATATATATTTCAATATATATTAAATATATATTATTAATTATATATTAAATATATTTTATTTTCATCATTTTTATTTTTGAATTATTTAATTGTACATTTGTATGATATACTTTTCTTCAACTCTGATCCCGATCAATAATAATAATAATAATAATAATACATTTTGCTTGTAATATTTATTTTAAAGTGCTACAGTGCTACAAGCAAAAACTGAATTGAATATATAAACAAAATAAATTCAATAATACAACAAACTGAAATATTAACAAAATATAAATGTCAGGTTAAATAAGCAATCCAGAAAAAATAATAATAATCTGTACAGTTGCATTTTTTTCCCTATGGCAAAAGCATTATTTAACATAAAAAAAGAAGTTGTTTCGACCCTCTTATTTATGCTTTATCTAAGCAGTTCCCAAAAGAAAAGGTAAAACGTGTTAAAGTGAATTTAAAGATATTTGCACGAGTTGCTTTAGTCACTGATGTTTCTTTAGATGCTTGTATGTCTTTTATTTGAATTGCTCGTGTCGTTTACAACAGAAAAGGTCAGATTGTCATTTTTATTATTATTTCTCAGCTAAACATTTACTTTTTAATGTGCTTTGTAAGTGTTAAAGTGGACATCAGATGCCCATTTTCCACAAGTTGGTATGATTCTTTTAGGGTCTTCATGAAATGTCTGCAACATCCTTCGGTTAAAATTCCTCAGTGGTCGTGTAAAACGACACCCTTTTTGCATGTCTCTTTAAATGATAATGAGCTCTGCTCACCCCGCCCCTCTCTTCCGTTTTTTGTGTATTTGGTGGTGTGTTACCATCAAAGACAAAACTAATCCACTGCGTCCTCAGTGGCTCTGATGTAGGGGTGTGCGATATATATCGTCTGCGATAATATCGTAATTGTTGTTTTAACGATGTGCGATTTGACATTATCGAGTATTTTGCAAAAACCATTCAAAACATCCCTACAGAGCGCACGCATACATTACGTGAAGTCTAGACTAGTGCGTGTGCGCATTTAGTGTGTTTTCTTTCACTGCATGATTCAGTCTATTAAAATGAATTTAGAATGATCACAAATTCAAGACAAGATGGCAGAAAATTTATATATTTATACCACTTCATATAGTTATTCAATTTCACACGAAGAGTGCCGTTTCTCTCCAAAAATTACCATGATTACAAATGTGACATTGAATTCAATAAACAATAAGTAAATTAAGAGACTTACGTTTTAGACACCATATTGCTTGTTTTTGCTCTATTTCGCCAACAAAAATCATTCCGAATACAGCCACAGCGCTGTTTTGTGTCTCTGAGCAACATGACGGCGTTTC